ATCTTCATTACCGTGAAATATAGCTTTGGTGTACTACAATACAACCAATAAGTAATTTTAGAAGTGTTTGCACCTCATTTCTAATAATTATCATCTCTCTGGGTAGCACCGTTCATGGTCGGGTAGCCCCGCCAAAGTAGGCGGTGCTAACCAAAATGCACACCTGCAACAGAAGACTGTATATAGCGCTATTACCAACCACGCCATTTACGCTCCTTGGTGCGCAAATCTAGCGCGAATGCCAAAACCTCAGAAAAATAATCAGATTTTGTGACTCGATTCTACCCTGTCCACTTTTGTGAGCGAAAAGTTCTCCGCTTTCAATATCAGTATGTGCAGAGGTGAAGTTCGCTGCATTTTAACTCCACATTCCGATTAAACTAGGACATCCCGGTGGCCCACCTCCTCTTCGGCGACCGGGTCGAAGTGGGCTGTCATGTGTTAATGTGCAACACTAAAGATTCTTGCTTTTGAGATGGGTGGTACTTCTCGAAGGGCAGGGTTACCTCTCCCCCTCTGAATTGTCCTTTCGATAACTACCAAACTTGAAATTATCGAAGATAATTGACCAATGGTCGTGCCAGGGGCAGGGCGATGAAATGGCATTTAAGTCAGAAAGACAATAAGTCATTAATTTTCGTGGAGTTAGAAGGGAGGTAGCAAAGGATCTTTTGTGCATGGCCCTCGGTAGCAAAACAGCCATCCACGCCCGTCTTTGGGATTGTTCACCATGCAAACAGATGGACTCAAGCGTGGCTGTGCTATGCAGACAGATTTGTGAACGATCTGGACAGACGATGGGGTGGTCAGAACACATGTCAGGAGTGCTGACATGGAGCAAAGGAACAAAATGATTGGATCGCGTTCGCAGAATCGTGTGTCAATCACTCTGGAACGGCGTTGGACTGAGACTTATATACAAAGATGTCACGTCTTAGCCAGGATTTTACCCAAGATGGGGTCAAATTGGGGCATACCGCGCAGAAGGCCTTTTCAGCCAAGGGGCTACAGGGACCCTGTTGTTCCATCCAGGCAACCTTTTCAGGATAAGGAGGCTATTTTTATGGTTTGAGGGCTCGTATGCTTTACAAGCTTTGCGGGCGTCTTAAGCAGTCAAAACGTACGGAGACCTCCGGCAGCCAGAGACCCCTACCATCTCCAGGTGGACCACATCCTCAAAAGTCTCACCCGTTTTGGCTGCACCACTGCCAAGCCCTTCAACCATCCCTGGGTTCCTGATCAGCCCAGCATGTTAAAGAATTCCAGGCTTCGTCATGGTTTTAGAATGCTTGCTCACGCTCGGCCCACCGTTTACCGATCTCGCTGGCCATCTGTGGTGGGTTTTTTGCTGAATGCTTGGGCTCTTCCACAAAACAGAAACGTTGATTGAGTCTCGAAGTCTACCGTTTCTTACCACCAGCAGAATTGCCGACATATTGAAAATGGGCCTCGTGTTTGTCTACTTCCAAAGTCAACTCGCGACGATTTGGATGTTAGTTCAAGCTGCTTTTCTAAGCAGCGTGATATCCGTGGGAATAACCGCTGCCGCTTTGTTTGCGAAGGCTGCAGGTCGACCTCCCGATGGCCTTTCGATTGCCCCATTGCGTACAGGCTAAGAGCACTTTTGGGCTTCGCTGTCTCCATCTCCCGTTGAGGTCCCTCGGACTGCGCTGCGGTCTGTCTGCGAGGTTAGCGACACTGGAGTTCATCTGATCGCTTGATCCATCGCTCCAAGCGCAGGCGGGAGTCGCTTTTTCATGAGTGGGGACGCTGAAAAAATGCTGCCGGTATGCCAATAGTCTGACAGTGCAAGTAAATAATGGTAAAATGTGGGGGGCTGAATGGAAGGTAACAAATAAGGCATCCTGATGGACGAAAGGTGGGGACGCAGCCTGTTTCACAGCCTGGTGACAGTAGCGGCTGTGGCTCCGCCTTGCGGCAAGTCGTGGCATAATGTGTGCACATGCGCTTCCATACTTAATAACAGGCAGTGTAGGGGCTTCCTTACAACTCCCAGCGAACCTACGTAGGGAGCAGGGCCTTCAAATCCGTTCGTGTTAGGCAAGCGCGCAGCCGGGGGCTTGGGAAGGGGGACCGATGATAGTGATAGGCGCCGCTTAAAAATCGCCAGATACGGCCCATTTGTTAGTGAAGGCACGTTATTCTAAGATATTGCGCATAAATATGTGCATGCATATTAATATATATACATATCACATGCTTACTATCTATAACTGGAATAGCGGACAGACCTTGCCGCGAGATCAAGTCTGCTTGATGTTTGTAGTCACTAAACTGAAAAAGAATGCACTTAAATGACGGAATAAAATAAATCACCTGCGCTCTTCATTTTACAATTGCTTAGTGGAGCTCTTTTTAAACCAATTGAACTCACAAGTTTTCTTCCACAAGCTTTCAAACAAATCATGTTTGTCTGGATATAATAAACATTCAGTCAGAATCGATTTGTGATTCAAATTACGTAATGTAGGTTTGAGCATGTGCGCTCACATATCTTATCGACAAAAACCTCGACGCCAGGCTTTGCAGTCTCCGTAGGCCGCGCATCGCCGGCCTCGTGGGTAAAACTAGACCGTGGCCAACACGTGGACGAAAATGATGTGCTTGAAAGAATAGTCTTTGAACGCTCGAGGATACAAAATTGTAGGTTTGGAAGATATTCAGGGCGAAAACTAAGCCTCTGTGGTCTTTACAGCACCATGAATTGGTGCTAGGATCTGGTATTGGAATTTGGAGCAGAAGGGTAAAATATTTGTTTTTGCTATTGCTTTGACTGTTAATGTATCCAGAGGACATCCTCAAAGCTGTAGGGGAAAACGCTTCGCTCAGTGTCATCTTTGAACCGTATGGGTTAATTTCGAAAGACATTTAGAAACATGATTTTATGTTGTTACACGCACGGCGCCCGCCGCCTGGCGTCACCTGTAGTGGTCAACGCCTGCGGTTTTACGAAAACCACAACACAGGCCACCGCTCCCCGAGATTGCGGACTTGTCATTGACACTTTACGACGCACTCAACTGCTGAGGCTATATGGCGTCGCCTGCCTGTCACCCTGGCGGGAAGGGTAAACAAACACTGCGGGGAATCAAACTTTAATCGAACCTCATTTCCTTCCGGTAAAGGGCCTCCTGGAGTATAGCACCACGGGGCACATTGTTGTTCTTGGTCAAGGACTATAGAGCCATTCTGTCCCACCGTGGTGTTTCCTTCAGCCGTCATTTTGGCGGTACGGGCGGCATTCCCTGGCCGATCCGGAGACCTTTGGAGGGATACATCATTTTGCATTGGTTTCCTCCCTGACGTGGGGACCCTTCTGATCCGCGCAGCTGGCCCGGATCGACGTCTGAACCGTCATTAACGCGACAACATCCCCGCTCGCCGCGGGTGGTCAAATAATTGGCACATGGACCCCAGTTCGGCTTAACGGGCTCATGCTGCAATTGGGTTGGAGAGGCCAACATTCGGTACTGGAGGCCCTGACTGGCATAGGACCCTTCATTGCTCCAATGTGAGGAATCATCCTAAGCTGCCATGCATCCTGTCACCGTCAGAGGGCTCCAATCAACGCAAGAGACCCTCTGTCATTCGGGCTCCCGTCCCCGTCCCTGATAAGCCAATCTTCCCTTGACCGATTCGAGGCCCCTTGTCGACACAGAATACCCTGTTAGGCACTGCGGGCCCCTACACGATACAGGAGCCCCGACCAATGTAAACCGCGGGCCCGGCCTTGTCTCTGCTGGGGTAATGGGCTCCCACAGCTCGGACCAACACGGAGCCGACTGTTCGTTGTTCGTGATCTCTGGCCAAAATAGAGGAACGCTTTGTCTCAGGGACTCCTATCGGTGCAAGAGATCCTTTAAATGACATTTGAAATCACGGCCCTATGGGTGGGGTCTTTAATGTGACCTACAGCCAGCCCTGCGGGTCCTTCAGTCTTCCAAACGGGCCATCGATCTTTGGCCTCGAGAGACCCTTCGGGTCCTCTTCGGGGCTCCTCGAACACCGCTCCGACTCGGGGCCACTTGGTACCACAGGACCACGTTAGGCACTGCGGCCCTGACCGACACAGGGGCCCGTCATTGTATCAGGTGCCCACTGAGTCGATCGCTTTGATCGACTCAGTGGGCACCTGATCAGCGCGCAGGGCCCTCTGGCTGGCATTAATATGCCCTGCGGCTCATGGCTAATGGCTCTGCGGGCGGGGCCCCTGAATGCGACCTCCAGTCGGCCTTTCGGGCCGTTCGGGCCCTCGAATCGAGCCCTTCGTCACTTGCCATTGACAGGTGGTGCAAATGATGTGCTTCGAAACGATGTCAAAAACTGAAATCCAATCCTCTGTTCGTGTATATATATATATATATATATATATATATATATATATATATATATATATCATTGGTTCGATGTCAGTCAGTACACTTCTCTAGCGTATTTGAAGTAATTAGTCGAAGCCATTCAAGCCAAATGCATGTTAGGAGCTCAAAAGATTTCGTGACCTGAAGTGTCGTAGCCTTGGTAATATAGAATCAATAATCGAGAATAGCATGGATAAGAGGTGTACAGTGTTGAAACTAGGCATAATTTCCAGGCTCGGTCAGTGGGCTCCGGGTCGTTTTCTCACCTCCCTTTACTTAGTTCATAGAATTGCAGGGTAAGTTACTCCTAATTGGATAAACATATCTTGTCAATTCTCATATATATTCCCATGAACATTTGAGGAGCTTTTAACCACACATTCAACACTCAAATGCACATAACAACTAGCAACAAGACGTGGACAATTTGGTACAAAACCAAACACATGTGTTTACTTTCAAGTAATACAACACGGCGACACAAAGGAATGCCTCGAACTCACCTAGGAAATACGTTCGTAAACAAAATGTACGTTTTGTAGTATGGTCCTGGAGCACTGTGTCAGCGTAACCCCTCTTACATGCTCATCACTCACATGAAACCAACAGAATCCCCCGTGCCGGCCCTGGCTCTCGCTCTGGCTCTGGCTCCAGTACCGACTCCTGCTCCTGCTTCTGCTCCTGCCACTGCCCTAACTCCTGCTCCAGGGTGGGCGACGTGTCGGACGGTGCGACGCATTGCAGCTGCGCGCACAGGCCAGCTGGAACCTATTACCGATGGCGTCTGTGAGGAAGACGGGATTAACGATGGGGTGCTCACATCGATCTCGGATGCGCACGTAGGCCGTAGGGCGCATCTGTGGCAAGTCTTAAAAGATGTAGGAACAGAACAGCGCTAGGACCTGCCTCCAGCTGAACTGCACATGTCGGTTCATCTTATGCAGCCTGAAGCTACACGCCTCGAAGCGCTTCAGGTGCACGATGATCTCTGTGCGGTGCAATGTACACCAACAGATGGTTCCCGGCGCTGCTGTAGGCGTTGCCGCCGCCCGGCTCCTTGTCACCAGTGCTCCCGCCTGGCCGGCCGGTCGCTGGGCTGGCTCTCGGCTGGGTTCCCGCCTGGCTGGCCGGTCGCTGGGCTGGGTTTCGGCTGGGTTCCCACCTGGCTGGCCGGTCGTTGGGCTGGGTTTCGGCTGAGTCCTCGGTATGACTGGCCGGTCGCAAACCGGCGGCTGCGCAGCTGGGTGCGGCGCTCGCACCCGAACCGGCTGCTGGCAGTGAGTGGCTGTGGTGCCGTGTACTGGCTCGGGCTGGTGAGCCGGCTACACTGGCCGGGCGCCGCCAGGTACCGCGCCGACAGCGTCGTCAGCGCCCGGCTGAGTCAGCCGGAGCGGGCCGGCAGCGTCGTCAGCGCCCGGCTCAGCCAGCCGGAGCGGGCCGACAGCGTCATCAGCGCCCGGCTCAGCCAGCTGGAGCGGGCCGACAGCGTCGTCAGCGCCCGGCACAGCCAGCCGGAGCGCGCCGGCGGTCTGCCGACGTCCAAACGGTCGGGCGACACTGCGGCGCCGTTTGGGGCGGACGTCCCGCGGTCGGCGTCTGCGATGGCGTTCGGTGACGCTGCTTGCCTGTTTTCCTCAGCAACAGGCAGCGAGAGGCTGGAGAGCTGCTCCAACTGACGCGCCCGGATCATGCAAACCTGGTACTCCCCAACGCTGACCAACTGTCCACTGAAGATTGACTCGGTAGTGGTGTGCGAAACCTGGTGGCCGGCCTCTTCAGATGATGCGCGCGCGCTCGCCCCCGCCGTTTTCGGGTCGTTCTCAGTTGGCAGGCCCAACAGCCGCATGATCTGCCCCTGGTGCCGCCGCAGCTTCCCCAACCGCGCCCGCTCCATTGGCGAGAGCAGCAGCTACAGCACGTCCTACTGGTCCGAACCCACGAACGGCGGCAGAACACAGCTCAGGTCAAACATGCCAGGCACTCAGGTTTCCGTTGGCCTCGATGGGAAGCTCCACGGCACGGATCTGTATGCAGATCCGTCGGATCTAAAGATCTATGGCTGCCCATTAGTCCCCAAACTGGGAAGATGCTATCACACATCCCCGTTAGCAAAAGCACAGCACACTACGTAGCTCCGTTTAAGTAGCGTACGAATTCACGCGAAAGGCTACGCCAACACGGAGTATCGATCTCAAAGCAGCTTGAGCTAACAATCCATCCCCGATACAATACGCCATCGAAAGCTTGGCGCAGGGCGGGGCAAGGAGTCCGCGCAGTTGACTGGCCGTCCGCGGGCTGAACTCAGTTGACTGGCGCGCCAAGAGAAGAGCCGCTCCAGTTGACTGGCCAGCGAAAAAGGAAGTGGGCTCATTTGAATGGCATGCCACATAAAAAAGCTAGTCTAGTTGAGTGGTGAGCGAACGGCATAACCTGCTCAGGCCTAGGACACAAGTCTGTAGTTGCCGTATATCTTTCCGCCGGGGTGAAACTGCCTAATGAAAACTTCAGCGTGTTTTGCGGACTTTACGATCCCATCTGTCTCTTTATATTCGCGCTAACGGAACGCTTAAGAACCGGTGTTATCCGCGCGCGGGCGGGCCGGCGATGATGACGTCAATAAAGTCGCTCCACGCCCGGCTGTGACGGCGGAGATGGCTGACAGCGAGCCGCTGGATGGAGTCGCCGGCGTCTGCGGCCCTGCGCCCATTGGTCCGTTGTCTGCGATGGACGGCTACCGGGGTAACTGACGCCCGCCGACCGTGCCAACGCTACGCGTTTTTAGGAGCACGAAGCGGAAGCGTAGGACGAGGCCGACAGGAATGCGCGGGCCGTTTCATCGATGTTTGAAAAAGGAAATAAAGAAGTGAAGACGTCATGTGAAAAGTTTGGTCAGCCGGAACCGTTTGGAGGTTATGCAGCCTAATGGTCTTTTACTTATCAGGCGGTAGCGCGAAAAAGGGCAGGACACCTGCATAGTCCATGTCGTTTTAGTGGGAGATATGTTCGATACATTATAAGCAGATCTGTGAGGGAATTGTCAGAGCGAAGTAAAGACGGCATTTTCCAAGGAGGAGCCCTAATTTTAGAAAAGCTTTTAGCATGTCTGTGTTGCTACTCGCATCTCATTCCCGCCAATTCACAGCGGCATAGTTATGCTCATACATCTTCTTCATATATCATATCATTCCTTCCACCACTGGCTCCTCATGGGTGGAAACCATGGATGACATCAGAACGATGAGACGTGTCCGTGCGCGTGCCACCTCGGCTTGTGGAGGCAGTGGTCAGCGTGTGGCTGCGCGCCCATGGGCAGCCACAGCGGGATAGCAGCAGTGACACGTGCGATGCTGTTATTGGTAATAATGTAGCCAGGGTGGGCGGTATGTGACAGAGACTCGGTTTATCGTCGTTGAGAACGCTGGCGACGACTTCACCGAGCGCGATATTGCGCGGCAAGTCAAGCGTCGCGATGCTCGACTTGGTGAATCAAGTCGCGATTCTTCACCAAGTCAAGCATCGCGAGCGGCACCCATCGGTGCCGGGCATGGTAAGAACTGGACGTTAACAGGGAAAAAGTTTTTAAAAGCATGCATTCTGATTCCAGGTGGGGGAGAGCAGACAATATATTGTGTCTAAATCCCGGATGTGTGCGACGGATACCCATGTCAGCGCCTCAGTCAAGGAACTGACTTCAGCTGTCACTCCAAATGTAATTATCGCTTTCGAGACGAAGTTCAAGACTCTTGGGTGAAATGATGGAACTACTAGAGTGTGATGTGAAGGTTCTCAACTGCACGTACTGAGGGCTAATTTCGAAAGCGTAGTTCAGGAAGAATGCAATCTTGTGAATCGAGTTGAACAGAACTGAGCATCCAAGAAACGCCTATCTGAGGTGATTGAAGACATATTTTCAGGTGTGCAATTGTCAGCAACTGACATGTGTGTTATCGATTTGGTAACGAGAGATGATCTGCAAGTTCCTCGAAACTCAACTGAATGATGTGACGTGTCAGTAAAACGTCTCGTGCAACACGGCACGAACGGTGCGGTGACAGGCGTCAGATTTGCCAGCTGCCATGCTAATGAACCCACAAAAAGGCTATTCAAGTCCGACACCTCTGGAAAGTCATACCAATTAGTGGGATCAATACGTTGGAAAGTGTCCTTTTCATTGGAGTTTAACGGGCAGAGTTTCACTGATATAGCGTTCGAGAGCTAATGCACAGATCACGTTGGTTGAGAATAGGCTGGCCACGGGGCTAACTCTGAAGGTTTCAGACGGGGGCGCGAGTGGATTTGCAGTGACTTACGGCTTTGGCTAGCATGACGTTAGCGTTGAAAAAAACGTTGCAAATTAGAGCGGCTATTACTACCAATGACCAGAACTTCTCGATTTTGTTACTCTCAGTACCCAGCCCCTCTCGGTTCAGGCCTCGTCATTGGGTAGATCTCCTATTCCAGATCGATTTTGGACAAGGTGGCATTGGTCGCTTTCTGGCCGATTTCTAGCGCACCTCAGGGATCGGACAGTCACCGGGTCGAGGCTAGTAAATCTACCTACATAGTTCAGTTCATTTTACGTCTTCATCCGTTTAGTCAGTGAGATCCAACAAAAAATGCCTCAAAATGGACAGGTCCATGTTCGGCGCACGAGACCGTGTCAACCGCATGCACGCACCTCACCCCCTCCCCAGATACGCCACTGCAATCGTTGTTTTCTTTACCGTCACCGTTCGCTGGTTTCTTTTGGTTACGTCACTGCATCATCGAAATTACTGTTTGGTTTTGATCCATGTTCCACAATTTTGATCCGTGTTCCTCAAGCCGTGTTTCTCAATATTGATTTTTTGCGTTTTCTATGTCAACGTAACGGAAAAATTAAAAACGCACCGAGCAAGCAGTTCGCATGTAAATACCTAATATCTAACCAGATCTACAGCTAGCTTTTCACGAATGCGGTTCTTGGCTCTGAAAGACGCATACATCTGCGATCAAGGGTTGCCAACTTATTTTGGCCTACGGTATTGTGTTTGGTTTCCTACGTATGTAGTTTGGTGTATTCGATAGCTTATCATGGCCGTTGTGTACCGCTGGGGTTTGGTACCTTGCACCAATGCGACCTTGCAACACGCGCGTAGCACGTGCTGCAAGGTGCAATTTTGGCTCATCCGCATTGCAGGGGCAGCGGAAAAATGCGCCCTCGCGGAACAGCCAAGCGGCCGCTCAGCATCTGGCTCAGCCACCGGTAACCACGAGTCGGAGCAACGAGACATTGGTGCATCTCAGTAGAGAATTAAATGGATAACCGCGTGATGCTAGACGTGTGGTCGCAAGTGTCACATGTCAGGTGTACAGAAGCGAATGAGATAGATTGGCCCGGTTTCGATGATTTTTCACGTTTGATGCCATATCTTGGCAGCCAGAGCGTGTAGAGGCGCGAATCCAATTCCCCAGCGTCGGTCAGCGTACCGTCCGCAATTAATGTGGCCAACACGAGCTTGTGTCACGCACGGCGGCACCAGTAACCGTCGGGCAATCCTGGTGTGTCAGTATTTGGAAAGAGCGGTGTAGAATACAAACGCTGTTTTGGAAACCGTAGCAATGCTCGCGGCGAAGTTTGCACCGTTGCATGCGCGTATTCATGGTTTGTATTTGCAGATTCATCCGTCATTTTGTGCACGATCTCGCCGAACATCAGCTTTGCCTTAGAAATTGCAATTTCACATTTTCGCGTCGTCCAGATGTCACAGTCTGGTCGCTCAGTCGCCACTGGTGAGTATTTCAAGTCAGACGGCGGGAGGCGCACGTGCCCTATGTTGCCGACGGCCAGCAGCAGTCATTCAACTTGAGTGCATTCACTCGATGTGCCAAAAATGTAAGCCACAGTGACGATTTAATGCATTAGTCGAATCTCTTGCTTTGAGAAATGTTGGATGAAATTCAGTCATCTTGAAGCAAAGTCCTTTGCTGCGGCAAAACAGCAGCCCACTGGTTTCACTGGGTGCATTTTGAAGTTATGATGCAGAGTGTTACAGTCCAGAGTATTGCAGCAGCTTTTACGAGTGACAGAGGAAATTAGGGAGATTCGGCACTCGCAGTGGCAGCTAGGACGACTTCCTTCAAGCTTTGGAAAACGAACTTGCACTTCAGCCGCTGTTTCAATTTGGAGGCTAAAATTTGGAACCCGTAAAACCATTGCTTAGGTAATAGTAGGCAGAGTTTTGGCTAAATACAGCATAATGCATCATTTGATGCTTCCGGACAACTTTTTTACTGCTTTGATGTGCCTCAGTAGCTTTGACGCATGACTATTTATTACGAAATTGGTAAGCGCCGTGGGAGCGTTTACCGTAGGCTCTAATGCTCGCTATTTTGATGAGCTTAAGATTGCAGTTTTTGCAGTAGATAGCATGGAGTTCTTCAGGCATTTCGAACGGCCACCACCCAGCACGCACATGCACATAAAGAGGGAGGGGGAGTTGGGAGCGGTCACTGACCGATTTCCGTCTGGGCTTTACGCGATTCACCCCATGTTCGAAAAACTCGCGCACAGATGAAGTTTGTTTCCCATCACCCACATACGTTCCTGGTAGTCAAGATATCACGATTGGTTCCCGCTATGTATCCCGGCAGCCAAAGGTCGGATCGGCCAAGAAATCTTAGGAGTAATGATCAATGCATCCAAAAATAATCCATGCACACATTGTCCTTGTAATATAGCGGGGCTTTTCATGCGTTTTAAAAGAGTCACATCCGTCGCTCAGTAGAGCAAGCCCGTAGGCACTTGTGTTACACAAGCACTTGTGTTTCTTGTGCTGTTGAAAAATGTAAATGCGATTTTGGTGTGAAAAACAGAGACTTTATCATCTACGATACATATGAATCGTGTTAAGTAATGGGGAAGAGCGG